TTATATGATAGGAGCCATCTCTTAAATTTATAGTAGTCACTTTTAGGATCGTATATCCACCTAGTTGATGATTCTAAGCAATATGGAAGGCCATTGATGAGTATGCTAGTTCTTTAAATAGGAGAAATTGTGAAACCCCTTTAGTAAAGTGATTAGTTTTATTATAAGTGCTAAGTGGTAGTGGCCTCAAGGAGACATGATTGTCTAGTGCATGAGGCACTCGCTCGAGTGAAGTGAGGTGCTGAAAAAATTTATTTTTCTATGGTTGACAATTTGTGATATTATATTTTGATAAGCATAAGTTGATGAACTCAAAATCATAAAATCATACAATAAAAGCCACATTAAAAAAGTTCTGCAAATCAACTTAATAATTTTGAATGATGTGAAGTATTCTTTAACTGTTATGCTTTGCAATACGAAAGAGCTTTTGGTGATACAGTTAAGGCTTGGTTGTACATTGAATAAGTGGTTTAAGGTTACAATGTGATAAGAGAATATTATAGAGATGGTTATGTTGTATAAATTTAAATGTTAGACTATATGAGAAGCCACTAGCAATCATGCTCGTTATGGCCAAAATAGTAATTTTAAGATGATGCAGTAGTGATATTGTTGAGGCTATGACTTGTAAAGATATGTGGAGATATGAGTTGTGAAATTATGAAATTATGGTAAGGTTTTGGAGAGGATATGCTAGGTTTAATTAGTAGTTTGGTGATTAGGCTGAGAGCATATTGAAGGGATCTAGGGGTTATTTGTTTGTGTTTTTTATTTTTAATTTTTATGGATCTAGTGGGATGAATTAAGTTTGTGTTTTTAATTTTTATTTTTATGGATCTAGTGGGATGTGTTAAGTTGAGGATGGGTATCAGGGTTCAAGGATTTGGAGAAGTGGAGGTCATTGGTTATAAGGCTATGATTTGCTTTTGATGGGATATTGGGAGCTTATGTTAGGTTTTAGGCCTTTTTATGATGAGACTGTCATCTAATACAGTTGTAATACCCATGAAAATTTTGCCTTCTCGCTCAATTGAAGTTAAGCTATCATGCCTCCACATAGTGGAATCTCCATCTAAAAAAAATGCCCATTAAGATTTGACTATGGGCAAGCAACTAATATGCTGAGAGTACTACACAATGGATTGTGTAGAGGATCAATATAAAAAAGTAGTATTGTTTGAGGAAATGCTAAGTTTAATCTATGTAGGAATAATATTTTTATGGTAGGAAATCTTTGTGGAGATACAAATACTTATGAAATGCACCTCAAGATTTAATTTTCAATTTTCAAATGACCTCTGCCTGTTCACAATCAGCAATCTTAATCAGACCAATATGCTGGCCATGGCCATAGAGTGTAAGAAACAAGTTAGAATGAATAAGACTTAAGAATGGTTTTAAGAGAGGTTTGTTTCTCCAAAATGAAAGAAGAAAAATATGACCAGTGATGACTTTTTCTATTATAAAATCAATGCCTTCGGTATGTACTATGACTATTATTTGATTTTTGACAACATAAAAGAAAATGCTTGAAACTACACCTTGAACTCTTTCGGGAAAACTAAAAGAAAGATATGAAAACAAAAATTAACTATTGTTGTAGCAGACAACATCTTTTGAGTCCAGTGGAGAAGCCGTATCTATATCTATTTTTGATTGCAATGTTGAAGGATATAATTGTGGGTTGTCATCCAATATGTTAAACAAGAGGTGATCAACATTGACAACCAAAAATACTTCTTTTTTCCAGCTTGGTGCAAAAATTATGCTTGAAGTGTCAAACAACATGCTCGATTTCTTTCCTTACCCTTTGGGTTAGATTTAGAAAGTGGTTAGAGATGAAGATTGATTGCCAATGTCACTGAAAGTTTGTAATTACCAATAACTTCATTGATGTTCCACTTGACATCCCAATTGATCGTTATAGTTCATACTTTCATGATAATTGTGTGATACTACACCGACAATTTTATCAATTAGACGTTTGATTTTGAACATTTGCAATTGGATTATCTATATGAGGGGTATCAATATCTCTAAAGTTTGATTGTTGGATCAAAATGCATATTATTGTAGGATAAGGGTGAGTTTGAATTTTATAGTTGATTGGATAAGTTTATTTTTGAATTTTAATTCATATTGGGATAATTCTAGTTGGAATTATCATTTTGTTTGAATTAATATAATTTGTTATTGTTGATAAGTTTTCCTCTTTTCTATGGAATTTGTTTTGGAGTTGATTTAGTTTTATCGATGCTATAATTTTCTATTTAAATACTTGTATTCTTTAATAATTTTAAGTAGAAATTTCTTCCTGAAACCTTTTTTTTCTCCCTTTGATTGCCTTATTACATCAAAGACAAATCTTCTGCTACTGTCCCTGCAACAAGAATCCGTAGAAGAATCCCTTTTACTGCAGAAAAAATGCATATTACCTTCCTGTTGATGTAGCAAAGCTGCAGCTATAGTAATTAGCACTTTACCAAAACCGCTAATTCCACTTGTTTTGTTGCTGCTTGTACTGATTACTATCTCTGTTGGTTCAAGGGATCCCTATGTGTTGCTTTAAGGAAATAATAATCTCAGATTGCTGTGAACAACAAAATAGAGAAAGAAATCTGCAATTAAGTTGCTGTCTAGCAAAGGAAAGATTAAAGCCTGGAAGCAAGCTTGTTGTATACAACGAGTAGAAGGAGAAAACAACTTCATTTTGTCATGGAGGAAAACATTTCAAAACATATAGGAAACTTGTTCTCCATAGCAAGAAGGAGACAAGTCTGAGAGGGGAAGATCATTCATTTTGAAAACAACAATTGAGATACCTTTATTTTGATCAATAGTTCATTAAGGAATCTCTATAAGAAGGCCCTTAAACCTTTCTAACGGTTAAAACGTTATTATGGACTAATGTAATAACGTTAAGAAGTTGACCACAAATCAATCGCTTACTCTTTGAAGTGTTTTGGGATCACGTTTGGTAAGTTTGATATTTCACAGCAATTTCACTGAAAAAGAGCTTGATATTGCCAATAATTTCATGTTCGATAGTGGTAATTTTGGGTTTTCACCAATAAATTCTATAAAGAAGAGAATAGTTTATTGGATGCTGATTTTATGTTTTAACTAACAAAATAAATATGGAAATGTTATTTATGAGAGAGGAGAGCTTTTGATTGCCTCTCTGATTGCCTACACTACTATGCTCTTCATGCCCCATGAAGTGGTTTATGGTTGATATTGAGGAGTATTGCATCACTAATAATTTTAGTTTGATATGGAAGTCACACAAAAGTTTCAGTTTGTCTATTATGTGGTTTATGGTTGCTATATGTTCGCTCTAGGTGTTCACCAATTACGACAATAAAGAAGTGAATGTTTAATTGAAGTAAAACGATAAAAAGGTTTAGGAAGTTTCAAATTTGGTCTTAGCTCACTTCTTTATTTGCATTCCTTACTTTCATCAATTCGTTACACGTTCAAACATTTCCCTTCTTTAATTTTTTTTCCTCCATTTGATATAAACATGAAATATCTATTGAAGAACAATTATTACATTCTTTTTTCTTGGGATCATCAGAAAATGAAATCTTTTGATGAGATCTGATATTAATATTTATTCTTCGGGCACTGGTAAGATTGTTTGAACGTAGCCATAATGATTTACTTAACGTGGAATAATTGGTCTTTTTTCAGCTATGCCACTTAATCTAATCATTTGCTAACATTTTACTTTCCTATTTAACCTGATCCATTATAATTGTTTAAAATGAGGCAATTGTCCACTAGCGAACCTATTTTGAAGGTAAAAAATGGGACCAATATAATACATGCAAGTGTTTGACACAGTTCCAGATTTTCTATTTGGTTTTTGCAATCCTATGACATGGTTATTTTGAGTTTTCTCAATCTGTCAGGGACATAAGTTGGCTTTTTCTAAAATTTGTCTGATTGAATTTATATTACCAGATAGCCATTGAATTTTGTATTGCTATGAACTTCAATAATTTACTGTATCATATTGAGAAAATAAGTTCTCACTACTTCTGACATAGTTTTAGGATTTTTCTATCTCAAGTATTGTAGACATAAAGTTAGAAATTTCATTTTTAAAGGAAAAAGCATGTTAAAGAAATTTTGAAATTATTGGTCTAAGTAGCTGTGCTGCGCCCAATATCACTTGATTATACATCAAGGTTTAGCTATAAGATTATCGCTGCAACGATCCTTAAAAAGATATTCAAAATGAATTACTATGTTCTATGCTTTTTGAAGAAAACGTAGATCTTTAGGAAATAGATATTCTGAAATATATTAAAAATCCGAGTAATGATGGAGTTTTCCAGAAGATATGTGTATTAGGATTAGCAAAACCCCTTTGAGTTCATGATACAGAATTTAATTGTGTGTGAAATTGATAATCATCTTCTAATAATGCTATAAGATTAAGCGATTTCTAAATATAATATATGAAAAGGTTTTTCAGATTTATTGTATAATATAGTGTTATTAGATGAGAATATTGTTTCAACAGTTAAAGCTAACTTGTATAAATGGAAAATGACTTGAGAGTAATACCCTATAAGCTAGTGTGAAGGAGATTTAAACATAAATTTTATAAAGCTGCAATTATATGAACTATGTATTTGTAGACAAACAAGACATCCGGGGCCAATATGAGTATCAAAGGTGGAACGTTAAGGTGGATATGTGGGAGTGCTGGAATGAAAGAGTGATATTTAACGGATGGTGGGGATAGGCATCAACTGAAGATAAGATTGTGAAAAATAAATTTAGTTATTTAGGTTGGTTGCATGTAAAATGGAGGATAGAAGCATGATGAGTAAATGGTGATAGACGTTTGGACAAGTTAGTATAAGATTAATTATGTTGATGATGTTGGTGTTGCTTTTAACACAATCCTAATTTTTTTAATCTATAACTGTTTTTAGTACAAAGTTAACTTCTTCTATTTTGTATCATTTTCATGTACCCTGCAGAAATTTTATTTTAGGTATAAGAGGAGTAGAAAGATTCGAAAGAGAAAGGAAGGCATTGATCCTATCAGGTCTGCATTTGATCAGATGAAGGTACAAATGGAATCAAATAATCAAGAAAGACGTGATAAATGTTATTACTTTTACATCTCTTTCATCTTTTCTTGCTTTACATTTCTGCATTCAATGTTATTCTTGCATTTCTTGTAGAGAATAAAGAATCCACCAATTAAGCTTGATGATTTTGCCAGCGTTGAGTCTATGAGAGATGAAATCAATGATATTGTGACATGCCTACAAAATCCCACAGCATTCAGGGAGAGAGGAGCTCGTGCACCGAGGGTATTTTTACTGTGTATACTTTTTTTCTCCATTTATTTTGAATGCTTTATATTGCATTTAGGTTTTACTTTTTGAACTATGCATATAGGTACCCATTGATCGATTAGTGGTTTTTTATGGAACATCATTTGCTATGTGATGCTATTTGTTTTTTGAATTTCTTAGATCTTTGTACCTTGTCAAAGTTGCATATATATAATTGTTGTGATAGTTATGGTTATGATTATGCATAACAGGATCTCAATGCAATCCATGATAGCTACATTTTCTCCTAAACAAAGAGCTTGCAGTACATGGGCTGTAGAAGTAAGAAAGGACTTGCCGATGGATTTCATGTATCAGTACGTAGTACTGTAAAATTAGATGTGTTAACCGGATAAATGATAATTGATTGAGGAAAGGCATTTTTAAAGTTGCTTAGATGAAATTTGAATATACTATATGGGAATATAGGAAAAGAACAAAGGAGATCTGATTTATTTTGAAGGAAATATCTCACTTATGTGAGGAAAATAAATGAGATAAAATGCCATATAATTTATAATGATCAACATTTCAAGCTAAAAAATTCATATATAAGAAGCCAAATATTCGGATCTATCATTGAAATGTAGAAGCTTTCAATAAATTTTAATGTACTTGATTTTATACTATATAGTGTAAATTAATTTAATTTGGCTGTAGAAAATATGGACTTAAAGTGGTATCAAATTGATAAATATATGTTTTAATAAAGAATGATGCATGCATGGCTGATAAATTGAACCCTATAATTTGTATATGGGATGAACTAGGCATAAATTCATAAGGTGGTTGATATGCAATTATAAGGAAATACCATATGTTGGTAAAGTTCTGACGTATTTCTTGGCTTTATATTGAAGGTTCAATAAAGGTTTGACTATATTTACTTAGTTAATGATTTTTTAGCCATAGATTATAAAACCATTTTCCCATGTATTTGAGTATGTTATTTGTAATATCTTAAACAATGAAGTAAGTGAAGAATTAAAGAAACAAGAACTAGAATAAATGTTTGGAATGATGCGTGACATCTTGTCAAATTTATCTTTAGATTCATGTTTATGCTTATTTAAATATTCGATTTTTTATTTAAGGCTAAGCTAAGGTATCTATTTGAGTTCATAATTAATTTTATGTTATAGTTAAAGATCATGTTTAGCTTCTTGTTCTAATTCAAATTTATGTTTTGGTTCAAGTGTTGAACTATATTTTTTACATGGATTACAATCATCATCATCAAATAATGGTTCATTGTCTTCAACACTTTCAACATGGCTAATTTCATAGAAAACATATCTCAAGGATCATTTAGGGGTGTCAATATTGGACCCGACCCGATCCTGACCCGAACCCGAAGCAGGTTGGGTTCGGATCCTGAAAATTGAACCGTTTGCAAAATCGGGTCGGGTTCGGGTTGATCCGGGAACCCATGATGACTCGGAATGACCTTGATGTAGGCAAGGGGGGGGGGGTCAAAACTTCTTTGGTGTTTGTGTTGGGCTGCTGTTTGCTTCTTCGGTTGAGTTTTGGCTGCTCGGGTTTGGGCTGTGTTCTTTGGGAGCTTTTTGGTTCTACCTCATTATTGCTTGAGCTAAACTTTAGCTCATTAATATGAAAATGTATTCTTTATGTTAGCTCATTAAGTGAAGCTGATTTCTTGCATTTTCCCCTCCCTTTGTGTCTCCTCGGTTTCTTCTTGTGTTGTTTCCCATGGCTACTTTTTCTCCTTTGCTGGATGCTGGTTCCGGTCCCCTTTGTGCCCCTTCGGTTTCTTCCCTGGTTGTTGTTCCGTGGCTGCTTTTACCCGGTTCATGTGTTGCCTTTTTGGGTGCTGTTCTGGAATAATTCTGTTCTATTTTTGGGCTGTTTGGCTTCTATTTTTGGATAGCCAGCTGGCCCTCCTTGTTGGCTTTTTGGGGTGCTGTTCCTAACAGTCTTTTGGCCTTCTATATCCCCCATTTTAATGAGTTTAATTAATGATTATAGTGGCTATTTGGCTGCCTCTTTTATCCTATATATATGTGATGTTTAGAGAGTTTAGAGGATGATATGTGTGCTGATTTTTGGAACTAAACCTGAGGTTTTCTAGGATAGCTTGCGAGCTATGCCTTTTCTCTCCTTCTTCTAGGAAAGCTTGCGAGCTTGTCCACCCCTTCGTCTTGGCTTCTTATCTCCTTCTCTCCTCAAGTATCGATGCCACTTGTATCCTTCTTCTCAATCCAAGAAGAGCTCCTTTAGGTGTTTTATGTTTGTCAAGAGTTGTAAGGTGTTTGTTTTTATGTCATAAGTTTGTAAAACTCTTTTATAATATGAAAGTTGAATTTTAGTATGTATTTTGTCTATTTTTGAGTATTTTATGTAATTTTCTATTATCCTAGTAAGCTTATGTTTTTTCTTGCAAAAATTAGGGGTTGTCCTAATTTTTGCGTGCATCAAATTTAGAAACCTAGCTGCCGCTGGGTTCTCTTCCTCGCTGCCATCCCGCCGCCGAAGTCCAAACCCTAGCCTTCTTGCTTCGGGCCAACAAGCTACAACGGACAACACAAATTTGCAGGATTTGGCTGAATAACAGCTATAGGTTGGTTCGTGTTGACCCGAACCCGAAACGGTTAGAGTTCGTGTCTGAAAATATGACCCGTTTTCAAAAACGGGTTCTGTTCGGGTTGTCCCGAATAGTACCGGGCCAGTTCTGGGTTGAACCCGAACTTTACCCGTGACCTGATTTTGACAGCCCTATTTTGGATTGATAGTTAGGAATTTGATTAATAGTAGAGGAATGAATGGGGATGAGTGGTCTGTCTTATCTAGATCCATGGGCATTCTTGGCCAACATTTAGGGCTTAATTTACCAATGGTTAATGGCTAGGAGACCACATTGTTTAGTGAGCTCAAATTATTACCAAGGTGGCCTAGAGTAAACTATTTTTATTTAGAGTGTTGACTACAAATATTATTTTATATTTGGATGCGGAGGAATTCAACAAAGCTTATAAGTTAATTTATTGGGTCTAGATGTGCATTGCTAATTTTAGTCATGGTTGTTCTCACTAGACATTTGCAAGAGGATGTACCTTGGTGTATGGTTTTTGCTGATGATATTCTTCTTGTTGATAAGACTAAAGAGGGAGTTGAAAGTAAAATTGAGTTATGGAGGTCAACCTTAGAATCTAAAGGTTTTCACCTGAGTAGATTTAAAATTGAATATATGGAGTGTGATTTTAGTAGTAATAGACCTACTGAGGGGATTGTGACTTTGGGCGAGCAAGTCATTAATAAGAGTACACATTTTAGATATCTTGGATCTATAGTTCAGAGTGATGGTGAAATAGATGGGGATATTATCAGTAAAATTCAGGTTGGATGGTTGAAGTGGAGGAATGCATCGGGCTTGTTGTGTGATAGAAAAGTTCCCTCAAACTAAGGGAAAATTCTATAAGATGGTGGTGAGACCTGCAATGCTTCATGGTGTTGAATGTTGGCCATTAAAAGAGAAGCATAATACTAAGTTAAGTGTTGCAGAGATGAGAATGCTCAGGTGGATGAGTGGCTTTACCCTTAGAGATAGGATACGAAATGAGCATATACGTGGAAAGGCTGGAGTAGCACCAGTTCAAAACAGCATAAAACAACGTATATTCCATGCTATAAGCTCCCTGCCCCTTAACCACATCTATAGCTATGATACCTTATGGTGTGCTCAACTAAGATCTCTAAATATCAATCTTTCTCTATCCATAAACTTCACATAAGGTCGCCTTCTTATTAGCTCTCTTCCCCAATGTTTAAAATGGAGAAATTTGGAATCAAGGTATTTTTTCTTAACAAGGCTAGGTGTAAGGCTTGAGACGGATTGAGGTGTATGCCTTGAAACGAAAAAATAAATGCAAAAAAAAAATTATAAAGAACTCATAAAAATGACATAAAATAAAATAAATAATCAACATAATGATTTGTTTGAAAATAAATATTATTAGAGCACAAAAGTTTGGAACTAAATTCAAATTAAACTCTCACTTAACACCCCAAGGATTACCTGATTAAGACCCAGACCTAAGAATCCTCATAGTCTTTGCTAAATTCATCTTCAAAATCTTCTTAAATTATAATATTTTAACTTATCCCTTATATCAGGTAATATTTTGTTATATATAATCTAAAATAAAATAACAAATTAATAACACAGAAAATAATCAATTATATTTAAGATTACCTTTAGATTATAAATGAATGCAAATGTATCGAGAGAGTGTATTTTGAAGATACTTTGACTGCTCTAAATCTAAAGATTTTATTCTTTAAATAGAAATTCTCAAGTTAATCATTACTTTGAGATCATCATCTTTAGGAATAAGCCTATCCATGCATGTTTGGTTTTACCTCATTATTTACATGAAAGTCCTTATCATAATGAAATTGAGGGTGCAAAATAATATGCAGCAGTGTGTGGGTGTTGGCGTAATCGGCAATTATACTTTTTATCTATAAATTTTAAAAAAATTTTAGGCCCTTTCTTGACCTCTTGAAATTCTTACCGTCTTCTTTAGCCTTTTTCATAGTTTTATAGATAAATTTCATTGCTAGGGCTTTCTCATCATGAACCATTCTCTGTTCCTTTACTAATAGTTATGTTGTCTTTAGAGCATAATTTATATTATGTCAAAAAATCTTTTTCATAGCAATCTTCTTTACTTGTTCTCCTTTTTGTTTTTTTACTCAAGAACTTCTATCCCATTCTTCAAAAACAAATATTAACTTCTAAGGGTTGCCTCAACTATTTAATCTTTGTAAAATCAAAAATTTAGATGCAAATCTATTAACTACTGACCAAATAATTTCTTTATCAGTGAACTTTCTCATTAAACTGAGCGCCTAAGAGTGATTGTAAATAAACTTGCTAACAATTTTTGTCTTTAACAAAGCATATTTATGTTGTGGAAACTATCCGTACCTCTCGAACATTAAATCATACAGGAAGT